CCTTAAGAAAAAAATTTCTAATCATTTTCTTTTAATTTTCTAAAAAATCACATAAATTCTTTATAATATAAAACGCTTCCATAATCCTATTACATAAGAGCAACAAAAATTCTTAAAATAGCGTTGACAAATGTAGATTGTGATTACGATTGTTTAATTCTTATCACTTACTATTTTATTGAAAATGTTATTTTCAATATAATAATAAGTGATGTTATTGCTTGTATATTTAATCATTACCTCATATTTCCTGCCTGATCGTGTATTTTTTTCATCTCACAAGAAGTATTTGAGAAATGTATTGAATACATAAATTCAAACTTATCACAAAAAATTATCATCCATTTGAATAAATTTAAAAATCAAATTTAAAAATATATAGAAATTTAATAAATATTATTAATTAACCATAATTTAGTATCATTTACTACTGTCTGCAGGAATTTATGACAAATATTTCATCTTTCACTCACACACCAAAACAATGAGCAAAAATTAAATACACAGTGTTATAACAAAAAATACGTTATTAACATAAAAAAAACTTGAGACAATAATAATTATCTAATTATTATTATAAGTTTTTTGTCTTTTATGTTACTTAAATTTACTTCATGATAATTTTTTAAAGAATCTTACTTCCTTAATGCAACAATAATTACAATTTTCAGAGCGGTGTCAATTTGTAGTACATTAATTTATATGAAATGTAGCGTAATAATTTATATGCAAATTCTGAAAGTATGAAAAGTTAGCGTGAAAAAAATTATTTTACAATTCATAAAAATTCAACCATTTCCAATTATAATTTGCATTACTATTATTTCAGCAAAATTAAAAACACTCGTAATCATTACTACATTTAAGGTCCGTATTTTATAAACTATCTAATATAAATTTTTATCTTAACCTAAAATAAATAAACTAAACTAATTTTTCTTTAATTTTTAAAAGCTTAATCACTGTCATACTACAAAATTTACAATACATATAAATAGACGCCTTCAGGACTACTTCATTAAAATATAAAATAGCACAATAATTTAATCATTTATATCAAAAACAATAAAATTTCTATTGTTTTTGTTAAATATTCTACATACATACAATATGTATATTTAAAAGAAAAAAAAATTGCATATACCAATATTGTTGTTACTCATATAAAAAAAGAAAATTATAAGAATTTTTCAAATTTTCATGTTTTATGCTATACTTAGTTTATTTAACTTTTCTATCGAACAACATTATAAGTCGATAATCGTAAATTTTAGTATTAAAAAATAAAATGTTAAAATTATAAAAATTAAGAATTAAATAAAACAATTTAAATTTTAAAAATTATGTACTCGTAGTAGTCGTAAGATTACGAGTATAGATATAAAAAATTAAAATACAAACTGGACTTTATTTAAATTAAAAAAGTATAAAAAATTAAAATAAAATTAACTTTGACTGGAAACTCTAAATAGGCCTATCTTCTGAGTGATTTTCTTTTTTTTGTTTTAAAGAAAAAATTTTTGATTTCCAATTTACGTAAAATTTAAAAATAATATTTATAATTAGATAGAAAATATATTATGCGTTTCAAAAAAAAAAAAAACAAAAAAAAAATTTAAACGTAACAATTTAAAAATTTTTGTAAATTGTGTTATTTATAATAAATGCATCATTTTTATTAGAAAAATAGTTTTAATTTTAATCGTCTCTAAGTAAATAAAACAGTATTGCTGACTAAGTCATAAATAAGAATTACAGACGCCCTTGTCAGCAATTTTTCATTTTTATTATATAAATTACATAATTTATTATGTAACTCATTTAATACATGATTTATTTTATAACATAGTTTATTATATGACTTCCTTCATTCTATTTGAATTTTAAAATCTAACAAGGCTATCTACATTTTTACACAAGATAATAAGTAATTTTAATTAGAAATTATACAAATTAGTAATATTTTTATTTTAATTATAAATTACACATATTAATAAAAATGCATGTAATTTATCAGATTATTCGCATTATAAATAAAAAATGTATTTTCATTTAATTAAGTAACATTCGTTTTTTGAATTGCAAAATTTGTATTGTAAATTAAAATATAAACTAGCTTATATTTATGAACAGAACAATAATTTAGTTTCAATAATTTTCAATAATACGCTTATTTTTCTATAAGATAAAATTGAAATTTATTTGTAAATTCATTATAATGCAATAAAGTAAAATTTTTTTAATATTTTTGTACGATATTCTTTTTATAATATGATGCATTTTTATAATAACAACTTAAAATAAAAAGAAATTATTAAATAAATATTCAATATTTTTGTTCTTGTTTTTTTATTAAATGTTGCAGCTTTTTTGTAACACTTAAAAAAATTATTTATAAAACAAAAAAAAAAAAGAAAATTTTTACAATTTAAAGTATTCTACATATTATTATAAATATTTATAAATCTATATTAAAATTATTTGAAAGGAAAAAATTTTTTGTATTTAAACATTTATAAAAAAAAAATTATATAAATACTTATATTTATATCTATACATATAATTATATAATATAGTTGACAATCTTTTTAAAAACAAAACAAAAAGCTCGAATAAATCTAATGGCACTAATTAATATTAAAACAACAAACAGATATAAAACTTCTATATTTTATTGTAATAATTGTAACATAAAGAAATTTTTATAGTAATTAAGTTTCTGTTCTCTTTTTGGTCGGAACTAAAAAAAAATTAAAAAAGAAAAAAAGATAAACTAATTTAGTTAAAACAAGCAGTAAAACAAAATTCAAATTAATAAATAGTTGTAGTATAAAATTAAAAACAGAAAAAACATGGTTTAAAATTAAATTTATATTTAATACACTTAAAATATTTAATAAATAATAATTATGTATTTTGTAACATTTATGTATATACAAAGCGTCCGAGGCTCGATGGCGCTCCCGCAGCAGAGTGATCGAATGAAAAGAAATTCTAACTTCATTGAAGTCTCATTACTCGAGAAGGAAGGCCCAAAAAGCACATGTCAATTGGTGTTTTTTGTTCTCTGCAGGAAATTTATCACCCTGCAATGGGAATTCCATCGATTATCAGACACTATGTATACACAAAATTGTAATATATTTATTTAAATAATGTGTATTTTTATTTACAATATCTACAAAATATTTATAAATAGCTAATAATTAATGAATATTACAATATCAAATTTAATATGGAAGTAAGCAAAAAAAAAAAATCTTGAACATGCTTATTAACACAGATGTTTAGTACACAATCGTGAACTGAATCAAGATTTTTTTAAAAACGTATGTACTACAGTAAAAGTTTTTTTTAGAATGTCTTTTCATTAAACAATAATTGCATCGAAATTTTAAAACATTGAACAACACTTTTCTTTTGAAAAAATTATTACTTATTTTAGTTCCGTGAAAATAATGTCTTCGACGTTCTTTAACTATATCTATTTTATTTTAAGTAAACTTCGATTATAACAAAAAAATTTTAACAAAATTCAATGTCAATGTTTATTTTAAAGTTGAAAGTGGAGTTTACGATATAGGGTTTCGACATCACATTTTCAATCATTGTCCGTTACATAAATTGCTAAACATTTCATAAATAAAAAGCAAATTTCTAAAATTAAAACTTATTTAACAAATTTAACAAAAATAAATAATGAAAACAATTAAATTATTTTGTTATTTTAACATATTCCTTTAATAAGTATACAAAATATTATAAAAATATTAATAATTCCTCATTACACCATTTTTTAAAATTCGGAAAAAATTTTTTACTTTAAAAAATATTAGAAAGTAAAAATTTATAGTATAAAACGTTAACACCAAACATTCAAAAAAAAAAAAAAAAACATGAAGGTAATTGAAAAATATTCATGAAAATTATATAAGAGAAAAAAATTTAAATAAAATAAATTAATTTTTTTATATTAATTAACATTTAAAAACATTAAAACCAAATTTTTTATGTAAAATGAATTTTAGCAACCTCCCTTAAGGTTTTCATCTTAAAATTTTTATTTCTAAATTTTCTGTCTGAACGATTTAAGGAATATATGCTCTGGGTCTCATACTATGTTATAAAATATTGTCGAATTTTATATACATAACGACCAAATAACTCACATTAAAATAGTTATTATTTAAAATTTTTAAAAAAATTGTAAAAATGATACAATATTAATTAAAATAAGTCTAATCTTTCTACTTTCAAAATAAGAATTAAAAGGAAAACTTAAAAAAATCCTATTTTAATTATATTAAAAATTGCCTAATTAAATTTTGTATCTGATAATGTTATCTAATTATTATAAGCTTACAAACATTTGACATACACGCAAAACTTACTACTTGCAAAGCTTTCCATATATTATTCATACTTATTAACTAATAAAACTTTTATGAAATTAAAAATTTTAATATTATTGATTAAATTGTAAAATAATTGTACACAAAAATTATACAGTGTATGATTAAATTGTGCTCTAAAAAACTATATTTATTTTAGTCCAACACTCCACGTTTTTTTATATTACAATAATGACAAAGGGGATTTTTGAAAATTCAGTTCTAACTTAGATCTTATTCGAATTCTAATTTCGATCTTATTGAACAGATTTAAAAGTATGTTCGATAAACCAAAATATAAAATCTTCAAATGTAGCATGTTTGTTAAATTTTTAATGCAAAAGAACCACATCCGAAATTTATAGCATTCTTAAAGTGATAAAACATTTTTAAATAACAAAAAAAAAATAAACTAATTAGTTCAAGGAGATGAGTAATGATGCAAAAAAGAAGAAGCAAGAAGATATTTCGAATTTAGGTTAGAACTTTAAGTGCATATCTAAATTATCGAAAATACCCAATTATTAACAACATTTACAACCAAATACAACCAAATATTAAAATTTACATAAAATAAAATGCAAAATGTTATGATGAAACTCTTAATACCTTTAAATTCTGTTATTTCTTTTAATATAAAATTAATTTAAATTTAAAAGAAAATGTTGTAAGCCTAAACAATTAAAGTTGCAAAGATTCCAGATCATTCGCTGCAACTCGGTCTTTATATTATTCTTAAAGCTTCCAGAAAAGAAATTTAATTTTTGCGCATCTTGGTTTCCTAAAAACAAAAAAGAAAGTAATAATTTCATGATGCAAAACATAAAATAATGTAATTATAATTTCGTTAAATAGTATAAAATTATTCAATACTATTTTAACGAAATGATATAATATAGAACATTATTTATAAAATCAAATTATTTATTTCTCGAAAAATAAATATTTTTACTACATTATCTTCTAGTTTTTTATTTCATTAATTGATTATTTTTTAAGTTTTTAATGTACGAGAATTTTATTAACACTATTTTTATTGTAATATTACAAAAGTTTCGTAAAATTTTTATAATTTAATTATAAATTATTAAAATAAAATCAAAAAAAAAAATAATAAACATTACAAATATTAAAATATTTTAATAAATCTTAAAAATATTAAAATATTAAAATTATTATTAAAACTCTATATAAAAATTATTCAATATAAAAATAAATATAATTTAACTGTATAGATTTATATACGCAAATAATTCTATATTTCGAAAACTTTTAAGACAATCTTTTAACATTTATAACTTAAAATAATTAAAAAATAAATAAACTTCAAAATAATTCTAACCTAAAACACAACATACATATTATAAAAATTATATACTTAAGCGATTTCTACTATGTACTTAAAATAAAGGTTGGTTGCATTATTTAATACACAACAAAATATAATATTATTATAATATATGAATAATGTTAAAAAAAATAATAATACTAAGATTAAGAATAAAAAACAATTAATTTACAATTTTGAAAATTGATTAAATAAAGAAACTATAATTATTATGTATTTAAATATTAAGAATGAAATTTATTATTAAGTCACCAATAAGATAAAATACTTTATTATAATTATTATAAATACAAAAGAAATTAATTTTAAATATTATTTTTTATATAAGGAAAAAATCAAATATAATTTATAAGAAATTTGAAAAATAAAAAAAAAAAACTAACAAAAAAAAATACCAAATTCTATACTTATAATTTAAAAATAAAAAATAAATACAATTAAAACAATTAATTTTAATTAAAAAAAAAATATAAAACGAAGAATTTAGAAACGAAAAAAAATGTTGTTAAAACTGTTGAAGGAAATTTAAACAAAAAAAACTTGATTATATAGAAATTGAAATATAAAAATACAATATAATATATGTTTTATGAAAAAAATGAATTGTAAAAATAAATATTTGTATTATTGATATATTTAATAAATATTATATTATACTCACATATAAGACAATTGGCAAATAATATGTCATAGAGCAAAAATTTACAATATTTTTACTTGAAAGAAAACCAATTTTGTTCTCCCATTTATTAATTGTGTTCAAAGGATTGTTGGAAAAGGATTGTTTTAGAACAATATCTACGCAATAAAGCCCTCATTTGATGCAACAGCGATAAAGGTCAAAATATACCATTTCTACAGAAATAACCGAGTAAAACATTGCTTTTTTGCGCAAAAACATCATTTCTCCAGCTCGAAAATTCTTCCTTACAATAAAATATGAAATAATGCTGTAAAGAAGAAAAATATATTAACTAAAAAACTTTAAAATTCGATATTCTTAAATGGGCTAATTTTTGTATAATAAAATAATTTAAAATTATAAATTTATTAATTTAAAACACAATAGATAGAGTAACTCAAAAATTATTTTAGTAAATTTATTATTATTTATTTCATTATAAGATCTTAATGCTATCTTTTATGACAAATGCTATCTTTTATGTCTTTTATGACAAATTATTTTCCAATTAATCTGTATCGAGAAAATATAATTTACATCCTATAAAAATTATAAAAATATTATCAAAGTGTTAAATAATATTAATTGTTAACTTATATGTATGTTAAATATGCATGTTATATAATTTCAATATATTGCATAATATAAAAAAAATATATAATTTTATACAAATAATATAATTGTAAAAACAAAAAATTAATAAAAATGTTTATATTTTATTGATGGAAAAGGAACAAAGAGAATTGATGGTAAATAATTAATTAAAAAAAAAAATCATATATATAATGATTGTGAAAAAACATATACAATACTTTTTAAAACACAATACCAAATTAAATTACAGCCTTAAAATTCTAAAAAAAAAAAAGGAAAAATTGCAAATCAGAGAAGAATAATATATTTTTTGAAAACATAAAAAGTAACTGAATTTATATGAAAGTAACATTAAATAATTTAAAATCGTTAAAAATTCTTTGTAATATCTCAAACTTAACCATGGAATCAATTGCCCGACACCTGTCATTTTCCGAAATTTTCTGAAATTTAAATTAAATTAAAATTAAATTTAATAACACTGAAAACAACATAAACTTAATTGTGAAGCACTTATTATATAACTAAGCCCAGTTATAAAACGTATGGCCGTTTCCCAGTATGTCAATGATTTGATGCTCTTTTCAATCATGTCATTCACTTGATTTTGCAATTTTTCGCAATTGACATTTAAAAAAATATTTCAATAATGCGGAAAATTTAAAATTTCAAAATTAAAATGTTTTCTTCGTAACTCATTTTATCAACCAATTTTATTCAAGAAATGGAAGAAAAAAAAAACTAAAATAAGAATAAGTTGCGTTTTCAGCGTGTATTACAATTCATGACTAACGTCAATTTTGCACGCATTTGATATGCTGGAAAACGTCCTGTATGTATATTTATGACAATAAATATATGAATTGAATTTAAATTGAATACATGTATGAATTTAATTTTATTCTTTTAAAAATTGGAAGTTGATTATTTTTTTGGAAAAAATTTTCACAAATTTTTAAATTTTTAAAGGTACAAGCATTTGTAAATCGAAAACTCTAATACTATCTACCATTACTCTAATACTATTTCCATTAGTTCGAATTTTATTGCTAATATCAGACCTCAAGTTCATAATCAAGCTGCTCTAAATTTTTAGTAAAAGAGGAATTTTTACAATAACATTTTCCATAACTCTAATTATAAATATTCCATTTGTGCAAACCTCAACAATTTTAATATTCATATGCTGACGTTTAACCTAATTTAAATTCATACTAAATATAATATAAATTTATTAGAAAAATTTAAAAAAAAAAACTATTCAAAATTAAACGCTTGAAACTTGTTAATTCACAATCGACTTTCTTATATTAAATCAAAAAATATTTCTCCATATTTTTTTTATCGACATGAAATAATTGAATATCCAAAAAAAAAAATAAATAAAGAAATTTAAAGAAATATTAAAATAATTTTATAATTTAATTGCATAATTAAGAAATGCAACAAAAAATATTATATAAAAAATTTTAATTACATTAACAAATCAGTAGACATATAAAATGTTAGTAGTAGTAGTACGTGGAAAAATTAAAAGAATTTTTTTTTCAGTAGCCACAAAACTTTTTTAAAATTATCAATTTATATGAAATATAGAAATATACATAAGAAAAAACAACAAATACAAGAAAAATTTAAAATTTAATAAAATTAATAAAAAAGATAAAAAACACCAGATTTGTATGATAAAATAAATATTTAAATTTAGTATAAAATTTCAAAAATTTTATGATATTTAAGGATAATTACTTTCCACTATTTTTTTTTTTAAATATCATTCAAATTATTAAAATATTCCTTAAATAAATTACTTAAAAAAATTAATAAATTAAATTTTAATTACATTACTTTTTCCAAATTTATAAATGCAATTTCTTATAAAAATTCATGTATTGTACAAATTAAATTTCTAACTTACTCGAAACAAAAAGGAAAACAATAGTAATGGAAATAAATTAAAAATAAATTTGCATTTATAAATCCACCGTGCATCATAAAACCAAAATACAGAATGAAAATTTCATATTTTTTCAATTTAATACTTTCAAACTCGTACTACCTACTCATATATTTCGAACTCTTATTATTATGTTATGTATTTTATAAAAGGCCTGCCCAACCAGTCCATTGCGACACTAATTTCAGTTAATTTCTTTTGCTATTTTAGAAATAGATTTATATTGCTTGAAATATAAATATTTTTATTACATACTTATTTCAGAAACATGTTTTCATTTACTAAACTTCATTTACTAAAGTAAGGTTGAAATAATTAAACGTCTGTTGTTTTTCAATTAATAGATCCCGAGATAGTTGCATCCAAAATAGTCTATCTTTAGATATAAAAAGGTTGAGCACGCCTGATTTAAAATAATATGTTTTGAAAAAAACAAAAAATGAATTTTGATATTTTATTTAAACAAAAACCTCAAATTTCGGGGCACAAAAAAAAAGACAAATTCTTCTTCGTTAAGAAATACTTATGGTAAGTTTTAATAAAATTTTTCCTTTATTTTAGAAAAAATTTACAAAAAAAAGTATTGCTTAAAACAAATTCTTTTGAAGAATATTGCAAAAGAATCAAAAATATATTTTGATTTTCAAAAGATATTTAATTATAAAATTGTTGAAAAATGTAAGGAATGTGGTTTTAAAAAATATAATATAAAAGTTTATTTTATAAAAATGGTTAATTTGTAATAAATTCACAAAATATATAAAAAAAATAGAACGCCTATGAATAATGTTATAAAAAATAAAAATATGTATTGAATAGAAGAATATTAAAAAATTTAGCAATTTCAATGCTGATATTTTTGTAAAAATTTATCTACTTATTAAATAAATAATTTTATCATAATTTTGTATACATACATATGTACATACAATAAAATTTATGATACATATTATGTAAGGATACTTTTTAAAATACAATATAGATATGCGCTAAAACAGAAGTAAAGTATGTAATTAATTTTAAAGGAAAAGAAAAAAAAATATAAAAAAAACACATGAATTTGAAACTGTAAAAAACACCATATCTTAAAATATAAAAAAAAAATTAAAAGATGAAAGAAAAAGAAAAAATTATTTATTTAATTTATTGTTTTTTTTTCTTTTGTTTTTATGTAAAAGATTTAATAAACTAATAATAAGAAAACTGAAAAGAAAATTAAATAAAATTAAAAAAAAAGAAAGCTAAAAGAAATAATAAATATTGTATTTAATGGAATAATAATTAAGAATTTTGTTTAAATTTTGAATATCCTTGAAGTTAAAAATGCATGCAAATTCCTTCAAAAATTTTAAAAATAATATCTATGCCATCTACAACTTATCATCGATCTATATCAGTGCTATCCAAATGACGGCCGCAGGCACCTTCTGACATAACTAGAAAAAACATAAGGAAACCATAAAGTCATAATTTTCTCTCATTTTTGTTCAAAAAGTATTATAACAGACGCTTTGCATACAAAATCATTTTTTCGAGCTTTATAAAGTTTTTAAAAACTTTTTTATACCAGACAGACTTAATATTATCGCAACAAAAGGGATTTTTATTATTTGATTACTTTTAATTTTTTATAAATTTTAATATTTCCTACAAATTTTGTTTTTACAAATAAAAAAATTAATTCGTGCCTGGCTAATTTAAAAGTAGCTACTTATACAAGTTAATTTTGAATGTCCGGTTAATAAATTTGCCATTGTTTCAATAATGATTAAAATACCTTGTTACTTATTCGTTTTTAATGTATTTTCCTCATTTTTCGTATTGTTGCTCTTCTCGTTTTAGTTCTTGGAATTCTTTCTTATTATTTTCAAAAATTTCTTCCATAAATCAAATATTTTGGTACATTTAATTTATTAAATTAATTCCTGTACAATTAAAATGCTGTACATATTTTTATTTTTCCAAATTCCTAAAAATAATTATAATTTTAAAATTATAATTAAGCCTACTAAGGTTAGTAGATTGAAAATGAAATTTATTTATTTTAAATTTAATATCCAAAAAATTTTATAGATACCTCTCTAACGTTTTTTCTATACCATTTAAATATTTTTTTTTGGTAATAATTTCTTTAAGAGAATAACACTTCAAAAACCTTCATTGCTCCAATAAATACTATATGAACGCATTTTCTTGTAAATTCGATATTCGTTCATATACAATGTCTTACATACATAGTTCGATAAGAGCGTATATTGCAATGGAGTTGACTGATGAATAACATTCTCCCATGTCGGACAAGTTTCTTTTCTTCCAAGTGTTTTACTATCGAAATATAAAAGTATAATTAATATTCTTGATATTGTAGATTTTGATTTCCATTTTTTCGGAATACTCGTCTATGACTTTATAACCTATTTATTGGTTTTTGTATTGTGTACTCTTCTACTATGTAAACAAAGGGATATATTCTCACTTGTTCACTATTGTGAATGCTCCTTCCAGCATCGAACGATTTGAATTTACATCTTTTAAAAGAGAAATGACCTACATATTTGCTTTCTATGCTTTCATATTCAAAATGAATGTTTAGTTGTTTCAGTTGTGCTTGATAGATTGTAGGTACATTGATGGAATTTTTATGTATCGTCGATTAAGTGCATTTTTTGAGAATTCGGATTTCATAGATGAATTAAATCAGAATAATATAATCTTTGTTGTGGAAAAAAATCATCCAAATCTAGAATATAGTTTATAAATCCAAAAATTAAAGAGACCAATCCCATTGCACTAATTGATTAGTTTTTCAATTTTACGATTTTTTCAATTTGAATTTACTCAAAACAGTTTCCTGACCTAATGTTTCCTGCTTCTTAACCGACAGTATGATCTTTACATAAAAGGTCGTCATTGTTTAAGAATTTAGAATTTAGAGACAAATTCTGGCAAATAATTTTAATGTTTTTGATTGTATTTTATGTGGTTGATATTTATAACTAAAAATCACTAAGCACAGATTTGTTTTAGTTTTCATGAAAATATTTAACACGGTAACGGTTAAAAAAAACTACCAAACTCACAGAAGATGGGCCATAAATCATATTAAAACTGTTTATAAGGTCCGGAAATCATATAGGTATGAATGTATACCACATATCCAAAGACAAAACAGCAACAACACGTAATTAAAGACAATTGTTCAATGTATATATATGTATGTATGTACATATATTGTAGCTGTACAATACAAGCGATTTTCGGTTTAAAGTTTAAAAGTAATGATCTCCTCAGGCCTCATTTAAGTAGGCACCATGATCATTTCAATTCTGATTCCTTTTCCTGCGAAGGTATCTTGTAGAATTTTGATATACATATGTATGTATGTATGTATACATTCCCTAAGGCAATAAGTTCTGAATTTAGTTTTTAATATGTGGGTAGGAACACATGAAAGAATATTTGACTTACCTAATGCTTTCCTAACAATTATGGATAGTTGTGTATGTACCTGTACATAATTATGTATATATTCATCTTGTCCCCTGGATTAGATAACAAATTATTTTTTTCCATTTATTTAAACTTGCATAAATAAGTTGTGTACAAACAAATACATACGTATGTATTATTTTATTTTACTTCTCAAACACATACATCTACTTTTAATCAAATATCTTTTTATTTTTTGCTTGCATTTTGTAATTTGCCCAAAATATGAACAACTAAGTGGCGGTAAACTCGAAATCTTTTTGAAAAAATTAAAAATTAACTGTTTCTGCTGTTAAATATTTTCAAAAGAAGTGTGTATGACATCTGTCAACAATTTCGCTTAGTTCATTACGGATTATATTTGAAATTCATTTTCGAAATGGTTTTCGTTTGTTTCAATTTGACAGCTTCAATTTTGAATAAAAATTTTATATTTTCAGAAACCAAATATGTAAAAGTATTTGTAAAATAAAAGTGTACTTTTTGAAAAAAATTCTAAAATAAAATATAAAGAAAATAGAAAAAATATAAGTATCTTACCCTTAAAGAAATAATTTATTGCATTTTTAATTTAATTATGAAAATAGAAGGCCAAAATCTGAGTAAGAATAATTAGGCACAACTCAAACTTATCAAAAGTACTTGAAGCCTATTTTATGTTCTTTTCATATAAACGTTTCTTGACTTCAAACCGGCTTTATCCAAGTCGAGTGTTCACTTATTTAGCCGTTGGCAAAATGCAATATGCGATCATTCAACTTCAAAATGCGGCCCGGCCAATCAATTATGTTTGAAAGAAAAAAAAATATTGAATTAAGACTAAATTTGAATAAATTTTTTCAAAAAAAATTTTAATAGCTCAATTATAGATAATATGGCAGTTACATAAGATTCCATACAAATTTATTATTTGTGAAAGCAAAACAATCAAGAAAGTCAGTTGAAATTGTCACTTCTTCTTGTAAGTACATAATGTGAGAAACTCGAGTAGCCCAATCTCATACTCACATTGTACATATGTATGTACCCATAACCCAAAAAAGTTTCCTGACGGTTGACTTAAGTCATTAAAAATCTTGCTAACTTACCTTAAAATATAACTATAAACATAAATTCATATAGAATACACACATTTAAATAGGACTGCTTAGAATCAAGTGAAATTACCGTCGCGCATTTTGCCGCATGCGGTGAAATACCCTAAATTCTTATTCTACCGAATTTCGAATAGTTTTTGTTGTATTACAATATTACATATATGTATGTTTCCATTGGTGTGTAACATTTATACAAGATATTGAAAAATTAATTTTGTTGTACCGGGTCAATAGTGCAAATCGCCCGCCATTACCATTCATCGCTTTGGTTATTTTTTTACAATTATGTCCATATAAACGTTACTCGGCTTGAAGCCGGCTCACTTATGTCAGTGAAAAAGTTTTGCTTACTTGACTTAAAATATAACAGCTAAACATCATTTTGGGGCTTTCAAGTACTCCCGCTTCTGTCTAATGGCTGTTTACATATAAAACTAGAGTAATTTGATGAAGTTCAGACGTCATGTCAAAATTTCAAATTTGTTGCTGGATTTATAACCAGTTCACCACCATTCTAAACTAATGAACGGCCAATAGAATGTAAAATTTAAAAAAAACATGGACAAAAAATAAATATTTCCAATTTATCATAAATTATTTCCATTTTCTATTTTACATTTCAATTACAAATTAAGTAATAATTAATAACCAACATAAAAATAAAAAAAAATTAAAATTTTTAAAATGACATTTTTGAAATTTTGCTCGAAAAAAAAATATTTTATATGTGTTTTTCTATAGCAAATTTTCCACTTTTTGTGCATAAATTGTTATTGTACCACTGCTCACATCCAGCATTTCTAAGTCAATCAGTACTAAGCGACATTGTGTTGAAAAGAGTAAACCAAATTGAAACGAAAATTGAAATAGTCGAGACGAAAACCTCAAAAAAAACCTACTAAATGTAAATAGTACTCATACATTGCGCTGTATTGTTTATTATTTTCGCTAGCTTTTATAAGATAGATGTCGCTTTCTTATGTTCTAAATATTGTAATTTTAATCATTTTAATTAACCGACTCGCCGCATTCTCCCGGCATAAATATGACATTTCTCATTTGTTATTTTTCTTTTTTTTGCGTATGACTATGACAGTAACATTTAGCTGTAAATAAATTCATCCATATAGTAGGTATATTTAATAAAATTCGTGAAAAATAAAATCATTTGAACTATATAAAGTGCACGTGTTAAAAAAAATAGATTTAATTTATTTGTTAATAAAATTATATAAAAAATGAGTTCTAAACTTGCTCATAGTACAGAAGAAAATGAGCGCACTAGTGATATATGCTTCAAAGAAAGCACTCCGTTCAGCAAAATGTTATTAAAGGATGCTGTTAAGAAAGGTTTAGATAATTGTGGCTTCCTATATCCAACTATAATTCAAGCGAATGCGATCCCCATCGGAAAAGCTGGAATTGGTAATAAAATAATTTTTGTTTTTTTAAATAAAGGCAATTATGCGCATTTTATTAATCCGACGTATTAAACATTTGCTTCAGATTTATTATGCCAATCAAAGTCTGGAACCGGTAAAACATTAATATTTTGTACGATACTCTTAGAACAATATCAGGATATGATAAGGGAACTTCAATCATTAATTTTGGTTCCAACACGGGAAATTGCACTTCAAATCGAAGGAATCCTTAATCAAATTGGAGAACATTTACAAGGTATGTAGTTAATTTAGTTTATGTAATCAAGAGCAATTATATAACAGCAGAAGAAACAATTTTAATATTAAAACATAATTATTTTTTGCAGGATTTCGAGCTGTTGCTGTTATAGGTGGTTTAGAACTGACGAATGATCGAAAAAAATTAGCAAATGCTAAATCTGTTGTTGGAACACCAGGACGAGTTCTACATTTAATTCAAAATGATATGTTAAACACATCGAAAATTTCTCTCTTTGTATTAGATGAAGCTGATAAATTAATGTCCAAGACATTTTTGGCAGATTTTCAGAAAATAAACAAAAGTCTTCCAAAAAAGAAACAAATAATTGCATGTAGTGCCACATTTTGCGATGATTTGGATAAAAAAATTTCAAGTTATATGAAAAATCCATTATTAGTTTCAACAAATAAGGGTGCAACATTATTGATTGGAATCAAACAATTTATATATGATATTCCTGAAGAGAAGACAAGTATTTTAGAAATGTCTTCTAAACTTAAAGCATTAAAGAAAATATTTAGTAAAATATCTTTCAAGCAATGCTTAGCTTTTGCATCTTCTCAATCAAGAGCTGAATCATATAAAAATGCTATGGAAAAAGATGGTAAATTGAAAACAGAAAATTAACTAATCTAAGTTTTAATTAAAAATTTTTATTATACATTAGGCTGGCCATGTGAAGTAATAACTGGTGCACAAGATCAAAAAACTCGAATAGAAATTTTCAAAAAATTTAAGGAATTTAAAACAAGAATTTTGTTTTCCACTGATTTGATGGCAAGAGGAATTGATTCGGAACATGTAAATTTAGTTTTAAATATAGAACCGCCCGATGATGATCCAACATATTTACATAGAATAGGACGTGCTGGAAGATTTGGATCACATGGAATCGCGATAACTTTTATTTCATCACAAAAAGAATCACAAAAATTCAAAATAATTACAGAAACTATCGGGTCTGGTTTAAATATTTTCAGATATCCTTACAATGAATCAATAGATATTTGGAATTTTTCACAATTAGAAAATGATAATATATTAGAGACTTACACATTTTATGAAGATAATATAAATAAAATGGTTGATTCCGATAAAGAAAATGTTAATGATTTGAATACGTCTTCTTCGGCTTATATTGATTCAAAGACGTATAAAATTGAATATATGGATGATCCAAATGCAAATAAAATTATGATGACAGAAACAATGAGTTCCTTACAAAGATTACCTTCTTCAAATACAATAGATGACGCTAGTAGCATTGCTCCAGATAGTGATGTTTTACGAAGTAATTCAATTGGTTCTAAAGATTTAACATTATGTAAACGTCCAAATAACAATTCAATGTCACTTTTAGAAGTTTTAATTGATAATAGCAAAAGTAGTTCAACTGAGCAAATAGATTTATTCGAAGATTATAAATCATTTGATGCCAATTTGAATGAAAGTCCAGCCAAATCAAAAACAGAAGAAACTGAAAAATTAAACTTAAAAGATTTATTAGTTGATACGAAAAAATCTGCTAAACCTACAAAAGATGTATTTTCGGAATATGAAAAACTCAAAGAACAAGGAGATGATATGACTGATAGTAATAGCTATTCAGTTACATTATCGCAACAATATGAACCATCGGCTGGAACATCTAGAGTAGCAATGGAACAGTTAAAATTAAAAATTCCAGAAATCGAACGTGATTTTTCACAGAGTTTTCAAAATAAATTACAAAAACAACATTTTCCATCACCAAATAATAATGTTGATGAATTAGTAAAAGTGAAACTTAATCCTATTGTTTTATCCCCACGCCAAAGTGATAGTTCTAATGATTCTGTAGCTTCAAATGCACCATCATTTTCGGTGTCATCAGAAGATGAAGGAATTTCTTCAGGTCGTGTAACTTCAGCAAAATCATCAGGAATTTCTACATCAACAAATGAGGATGATGATGAAGAAGAAGATGACAATGATGATGATAGTTCTGATTATAATTATAGCGAGGAAAGTGAAAATTCTAATTTATCAGATTCTGATAGCACTTCTGAAGAAACATATCAAACATCCGATTCTAATAATGAGAATGATCATGAATGCAATAATAATGATACAAGCAGCATAACTCAAACCGATGAATTAGATGATGAATTAGATGATATTACCGATACTGATAGTGATAATGATGAAAATAATGATAATGCAAGAAATAAAGAAGAAAAATTTGTGAGAAAACAAAATAATATTTTCAACTCACAAAACTTCCATGATTTAAAAAGTGATTTAGGTGCAACAAATGAAGATTCTGATAATAATATATATACAAATCCAAATTCAAGTGATCAAAATTTTATATACCAAAATGCATATGCACGTTGGACTGATTTGTATTGGAATCAAATGACCCAAATACAAGATTATGTAAAATTTTGTTCATATGTCAATAATAACTCAAATATTTAAAATCATAGAAATCCTATTTCCTTCTAGTTGTAAGAATTTCGATTGGATTAAGTGCCAAGCTATCTGGAGTAAATGAGAAAAATACTTTTGAATGTAAATTTTTGTGTATTTCTTAAATTAGAAACTGCATACTTATTGGTTCTTGTTTAAATAAAAATATAGTCATAAAATATTTTTTTATATCTAAAAAAGAAAATACTAATAAGGAATATAAACTAATAAGTAATTACCAAATTGAATTTCAGTTGTTAAAAAAAATGAAAGTAAAGTAGATAAGATGTTTATAATGTAGAACCTAATTACGTTAATTTTCTGAATAAATTATTATGAACTTAAATATTCTTTGTTTATTTCCCGAAAACGTTCAGAGAATGAGCAGAATATTAGACAGATTTCTTATCCTTAGATGCTCTTAGAGCTTAACAGATTTGAAGCACAAATGGAGAACGCATTTTTCCAATTCTATAACCGTTCAACAATAATTGAAGTTATGGGTATTAATTTTGATAATTTCGATCTATGGTAGTATTTAATTTGCAGTAAATTAAGTACTACAAGAACTGCCAAAAAAGTATTTTTCAAAATGCAGCAAAGTTTTGACAGAATTTTTTTAAACTACAACTGCAAGCTAAAATCTTAAAAAAATTATCGCAAATACGCCGTTTTATTTTACTACGGCAAATAAAAAAACTTGAATATTGGAAGATTTAAAGCATTTATTAGAGAAAATTTTGAGTTTTTAGAATTTAAGTTTTTATTTATTTAATATACGCATGTATCTATGTATGTATATTTTTAGTGCTATAGATAACAAACAAACTCAAAGCGAAACTTGTTTTAAATTGTTGCGTTGAGCCTCCATTTTTTAACGTGAATAAAAATATATGACTGTGGCATGACAGTACTTCAACAACTGCAAAATATTTCTTTACTACAAGTAATAAGATTAAAGTTTTTGCAGTTAGTTTTTCATGCTGCTATAGTAAATTCAGTTCAGTTTTAAGTAAGAAATATAAACGCTTGCTAAAGCTAAATGCATTTTTAAAAATAAAAATACCCTATCAAAAGTAATTGAATTGAGATCAACTGGAGCTAGAAGAAGAAGTTTGGTTCTCTATACGAGCATTGTCCACATGCAAAATGTGCTTCTAGTTGAGTAGTTTCGGTATGATCTATAATAACTGTACATCAATGTATGTACATACATAAATAATTATTGGCGTCAACCGTGGAAACAGAAGCTAAACTTGAAATTGGGAACTTTGACCATAATTGTTTAAATTTAAACTCGTTTCTACATAGTATAAAACCATTTTACACAGGATTGTGTGTTAGAAATAAAAGTAGTTCTTAAGTTTTCTTTTTCACTTCAAACGATTAAAAATAAGGATCACACCACATACATATGTACCTACCAAGCTGGGTATTTGCAAACTTAATATGTTATATACATACATACATAAATATGTAAATATTAATATGATAATGCAAATACAATTCACGTACGCTTATAACAGCATTCGTTGGTTGACTAGAAAATTTTCATTAAATTATGATTAGTCATCATTTACTGTTAAAACTTAATCTAAAGAAATGTTGGAAAGTGGCGTTTTACACTTGCATACCTACATAAAGAAGTACATCCATATATAACAAGTATGCGTCTACATAATAGATACAGATCCAAAGGATGCTTATTTGTGAAGGAAGAAAGCGTTAAACAGGTGAGATTTTACAATTTCATATTGAATTTATTTTTAAGAAGTTATCAAAGCTAAAATAAATTTACAAAATTGGTCTATTAGTTTGAACATAAATTTCTGAGTTGAATTCCAAACATTATGGAACTGAAATCAGAACATTTTATTTTGGTTTATTGTTTTCAAATATGTTCATATATTTGTTTGGTGTAGAAAACTGAGGTCCTAATTCCTGGTGAAAATACGTAGGTTTCTACCTAGGTAGGTATATACATATTACGTGCACATTTCGCACTTTAATAATTTTAAAGTGTGACAATTGACAAAACTAATAAACAATTTTGACTTTATGTTGGAATTCTTTTTTGTTCATTACTATACTTATGTATATTGGTTTATATTACATTATTTAGGCATAGATACGAGTATGTGAATAAAATTAAAGAAATAAGAAATTGAAAAAAATGTGTAGTACCTATTATCCGAAAAAATAAAATAAATTAATTATTTTTCTAATTGCACGACTTTTGTATAGTTCTAATGCTTTAATGTTAATGTTATTTATTAAAGTTTGTTATCAATTTCAGTCCTATGGGTTTCCAAAAAAATTGCAAAAATCTAAAATCAAATGTCGTAAATGTTACGTTAATCAATAAATTTGCAGTAATGAAATGTAATCAAACATCTAAGATATTTTCTATATTAAGAATGGAAACAAAATATATTTCAATTGCATTTTCATTAGAATAATAAATGAATAATATTACAATTTTATATTTTTTTATATGTTAATAGAGTTCTCTAAATTATTATACAGTAACTTCTCTTTTTATGCGGTTTATATTTGAGATTTTAAAGTTGTGCGGTTTGCACCAAAAAATTTCTTGGACGAATATACATACATGTGGATTTATTTAGGAAGCCTGCTTATAGACATCCTAAAAAATTTGCGGAATGTTCAGTTTTCTCAAAGCTGCCTCCGTTTCTTCAGTTGACATGTAACTTTAATAGATAGATATAAAGAACAGATAGATCTACTTTAGCTCTACACATCCAGATATTGATTTGTTTTTAAAATAAACTTTTTCAATTTAGGGTTTTTTTTTTTCTTGAGAATGATATTTATCATCGACAAGTCGCCATTACAACATTCTAAGTGCTGCATCGAAAAATATAAACTGAAATTATTTTAAAATTAAATTTTGTTTTAGTGACGTTTTGTGTTTATTTTTATAATGAAAGGCTCGTTTAAATTTTGCTTATTTCAAATTGCAGTAATAACCAGCCCATTTCCATTAATTTTAACTCGTTATTTCAGTTTTATGCGATTTTAGAAAATTATCGAATGTATTCCTACTTGTTTAAGGCAACTTAAGTCTTTTTTTAAGGCACTTTTCTGTAGAACGTATCAAATGAATGAAACAAAACCTTACCGTGTATGCATGATTAAAAACTTGTGAATTGTAAATAGTTGTATGGATTGTTATCAATAATTCAAAGTTTTCAAATTTAAAAATTACAAAATTAATTAAATTACAAAAGAAAAATTAAAAAAAAAATTATAATAATTCTTTTTTCCATTTATGAAATTTATGCCTTTTTTTTTTAATTTCAATGAAGGCGTAAATTACGAGAATTTGCAATAATTCTCTACATTTTCTTTACTATAATTTATTTTAACTTGTATCATAACTATTATTATTATTATTGTTATTATGATTATTATTATCAGTTATTACCGTCATTATCATCATCTCTAGCACCATTACCATTAATATGCATTGTCCATTTATGTGAATGCTTTTTTTTGTTTTATTGCTTACTTGGTTTATTTTGTGTAAAATTATATATATATATATATATATATATATATATAAGTATATACTCGTAATGAAATTTTACAATATTATATAAAGTCTTATGTAGCAACTATTTGAGAATGGTTAGAAAAATTAACATCTCAAGTACATTAAAATGACATTTTCAATTTCAAAATAGCCTTAAGATATCTAAAAAGAGTTATGCATGTACATATATTTTTTATATATTTGTACAAATGCATTATGAAAATTATATGTTGATTGCAAAGTGAATGCAAATCAACACATCTAAATATCATTTAATTCACATTGGTATAATATAACTTTGAAGATTTTGTCGTTTCTTATTCAAAATATAGAAGCTACTAGTATAACCATGTTAATATTTTTCTATTACAATTTTCAGGTGTATTATTGAAAATGTCAGAGTCGCATTATTTCTATTATTTGCTGTAATTTGTTTTATTTTTGCAGATTTTGATTTTAGAGCATAATTTAAGAAAAATGAAGCAACACTAAATTTATTTATGGCTTGTGATGTTGGAAGACTTAAAATTTCAATTTTATTAGTGATTCTATATAATGACTTGTAGTGAAAATGTCGTAAGTTTTTTGTAGTAATTTATTTGACTGAAATTTGATTGAAATTTCTTAATTGTACTTCAATTCTTTATCTATTAGAAACAACTTTCTCAACTGGACTCAATTGGAGTTGAAATATTCAATTGGAGGAATTGGAGAGTTGTACAATGTTAGTTTTACAGTGTTAAAAAATCCTGTTTAAATTCTATTTTAAAGAATACAATCCTGTATAAATTCAATTTTCATATTTTCCATCATCTAGTATGCTAAATTTAAATAATTTTGGAATAGAAAGGAAAAAAGCAAAAAAACAAGAAGGAAAGAAAAATAGCTAATACAACTAAAAAATCTCTAAAATGACTCTTTAGTCTTTTAAACAATTGTTTTGATAGCGCCAGATAATCACTTTAAATATAAATTTATTTTTTATTTCAATTTTCGTATATGAAAGATAAAAACTTAAAAATTTAAACAGAAAATATTCTGTGAAAAAGAAAAAGATCTGACGTTAGAAATCTTTATACCATTCCCAATTTACATAAATTCAATAATAAAACAAGAACAAAACAGGAAAACTTGACTACCAGATGCAGCGCAAAATATTATGAAAAATATTTATTTTTTAATTTGCTTTTTTTTTTTTTTAGTGTTGTGATCTTTCTCGAGATTTTATGTTATGCACCACAGCCAAGAATTGTAAACTGATGTATGAATATTTCTGGTACTACCATATGGAAGAACATTGAATAGAGTGGAATTGTATAGTAAGTGTTAAGTAAATTTTAAATCCTTGTCTATTTTTATATTGTCTTGAATTAACTTACAATTGTACAAGTGCAAATAGTAAATGGCGGCATTTCTTATATTGTGTTTATCTCTATCTCTTATATTATGTTATACTCATAAATTAGATGACCAAAACCAAAAAGATCAACATCAACATAATCAACAAAAGAATTATCACATCTTTTTGGTTGAAAGTTTTTTTGTTGGTTCTGGCTTCCCAATTATTCTAGAAAAATTATTAACATAGACAAGAAATTTAATGAGAAAACCAAAAAAAACAAAAAAAGAAAATTCACTATAATAATTTTAAATTAAATGTATCTTAACATTATAAGTATGTGAAACAAACTATAAAGGAAGATAACTATGAAAATAAGATTGAAAATTTTAGATAAAAATTGAAATTTTTATGATGCGGGAATTTTATTTCAACCAATACACATTATATT